GGGTTGTGTATGAATGGTGAGTGTGTGGGGGTAGTTATAGGGTTGGTGGTTGCATGCATGGGAAATTTAAATAAATAAAGGGGTCCAAGTTGTGTGAAGATTCTATATATGAATGAGGGAAGACCGTTGATTATGATTGTTGGTGTGGATTCATTGAAAACACATTAATGAAGAATGATGTGTTTTTTCACTCCAAGGAAAATAATGGTTAAAGTGGCTTATGGGTAGCCTAAGAGCTGCTAACATGTGGAATAATCACAAATAATATATACACTATATAATACTCACTTTTTTCCACTCTACTATTTAGAAATGAATTTTTTTTTTGCCTTAATTGAAGAGTGTAATTTACTTGAAGATGCTAAAGGAAAGAATATTGATTTTCTTTCGTATTTCTTACTTTTTGTAATTGTTTTTTACTCTCTCCGTTCTAATAACACTTCTTCTTTTAAATTTTTTTTTTTCACTTCCAAAAAAACACTTCTACTTTCTATTAAAAAATCTCTTTTACCCTTACTTTTTTCATACCTCACGTCTTCACCTTTCACATTATCCTTTTTCTCTAATAATCTATCCATCAAATCTTACTTTTACTCATCACATCAAGGGTAAAATAGGGAGTCGATCAACTACAATTTAACACTTCTTTATTTTTAAATTTGGTCAAAACTGGAACTTTTTTTGAGAAACAGAGGGAGTATAGAGTTTCTAGCATGTGAGATCGATCCTATATATATAAACAACCTTTGTTCATATTGTGGATATCAGAAATACAAGAGAAATATTTTTTCCCGAAATACTATTCTTTTAGAGAAAGACGAGTATCTTTCCTGGTATTTAGGAATATTATGGTTGTTGATCAAAGTATGATCATATCATTCTGTTTATTCATGGCGAGTGGATGTGATTCTATATCTAGATCATGGAACACCAGTAAAATTAGAGTTCCCATATACTCGGACATATTCATGTTATTTACGGTGCCAAGGTTTTTATGGGATGATATTGGCTCATATTCATGCATGTTCGGGTCGGGCCGGTGGGGTGTGCAAAGTGGCTAACTGCACATGGCTCCTAAAATTTTAGGGCTTCATATTTTTAAATTCATCATTAATTTTGAAATATAAGTATTCTAAAAAAAAAAATGGCCCAAAATGTAAATTTCAGGCCAGACCAATTTCATTTTTTCATTTTCCGAGACCGGTCTTGCGACAGGTGTACGTTCTAATTGGCAAAAATGTTTTTTGTGGGATGATATTGGCTCTAATTGAGGTGTTTATAGTGTTATACTATTATTTAAAAAATTAAGAGTTCCTACCCTCTTAACCATTCCGAAAAATCCCACGCGATCCGACCCGAATTAATTCTCCACCTACATTGCAATTGGAGCCCTTAAATTTAGTTGATTTCGGGATCAATTTATTAACCCCATAATCTCCTAAATTAGGATATGCGATTGAGGTGGGATTCGGGTAAAACCGGGTGAGGGTTAGTTGTTAAGTGGTAGGAACCATCCATTTTGTTTATCAAGCACTACAACGGTACGTTCTGGTAAGAGTCATTATCATTCCATTATATTGAAATCCAGTTTCATGAGAATGGAGTGTACCATATGAAATTGATGTAAACGTACGTATTTGAAAATAATGCAAATACTGATTTTGTTGTCACTCCTTATATTCTTAATTAACTGTTTATTATAACTTTTTAGATATATCAAATTAATGTAGACTTAATGTTTGTTTACATTCATTCAAAATATAATGTATCTAAAAAATAATTAGCACTTTTAATTAGTTGAGGCAACACATGTAGATCTAAAGATCATAAAAATACAACTCATTTAGAATATGTACATAATAAAATTGATGTATGGTTAAATATGTTTTCAATCATCGTAAAATAAATGATTTTTATTTTTTGTCGTCTCTGTAAAATATTACTTGTGTCATCCTTAGATTTTTTTTATATTTTGGAGATGATATTTGAACATAATTAGCACTTTTAATTTGTTGAGGCAACACATTTATTTTATTCTCAACATCCTAGTCTTACAAAAATTATCTCTGACACAATTTTCATACACTAAATTCTATCCTTATTCGTATTACATCTCTAATCCCTAAATTTATTGGGAATATAATATACGAGTAATAAAATTTAGAAATTATGGATGTAATTTGATGAATGTACAAATTTGAGGTAGGAAAATTTGTATTTGAGATAACTAGAAATGTAAAAGTGGGATGTCAAGTACGAAATAAAAGTATTATCTTAAAAGTTGGAAATCTTAATTATATTTTAAGGATGAT